TTTATCCACCCTTCTCCTCACACAGAACCAGGAATGTAACTCTATCTCAGGCAGGCATTGAGACCGATGGACACCTGCATGCACATAGCCTCACGGGAACACATGTGCTCATGCACAAATGCACACACCAAACTTCTGAACATGTCAGGTGGAAAAGGGTTTGCTGGTATTGATCAGAACCCCTGGAGTCAACAGTCAATCTAAACTTAGAAGGTAAGATATTTTGATCTTGAGTCTATGTTAAAGCGATCTATTTGTCGTCATGTTCTGAAATAAGAGAATTTTGGGTTGTATCATCATTTTACACTTTAAAATTCTAGAAACAATGTCAAAAAAGCATTATTTTTCATTTTCTGGGATGAGGCAGGTAGGACTCCACAGATTCGAATTTAGTTAAAAGCAGAACAATCCCAGCAATAGTATAGAGGCAGTTCACAAAGCTGCCAGCCACCAAGGTACCATCAAGGAGATGTCGTCCATCCTACTGGCCTATCTGTACTAATAAAGCGGGAAGCTTAAGGCTCTGCACAATACATTTCCACTGGGACAAGAAGACTCTAGGCCTGCACTCAGGGCTTGACACTCACTGTCAAGTAGGGAACATTTAGCTGAAGAGGGTGCCAGAGTCCCCGGAGTTGCCTCTCCACTGCAGCCTGGTCAACTGTCTTCTGCAAATAAGGAAAAAACAGCTTTTCTGTATCAGCACATTTAACAGAGAACCCGAAAAATGCTCCCACATGATGCCACGAGCGGAGTCCCCTTGCTATTCACTTTATTGCTTGCCATTGCCTGTGGGTACACACTCACTAGATATTGCTGGTTTTGACAGTGATTTCTTTTTCCTTTTTAATCTCAGAAGAATCTAGTAATAACAAGGTAATAGGTGGTTACACTAACTGTACATACAGAGAGTAATTTGGAAAACCACCATCACAGACATTCTTAAGACCAAAATACTGTGAATGTTCTGTTGCTCCTCTATTTCTGAAATCAGCCCTCAGATTTTAAGATATTGCTTTTCCATGACATCGTTAGATAGCAAATCCACAACCCATAGTTCTAGAGTTGTAGAAACATGCTAACTCTCCAGGACAGACCATCGATGGCCTGGAGCCATCTCTTCAATAAGTTTCTGGGATGCCCACTTCTTCCACTATTGGGAAAGGATTCTCCTCTCAGCTAAGTTCCAGGAGACAGACTCCTCTTTAAGATGTCATTTCCTCACCATTTACCAAAACAAACCGCTTCTGGCTACCTTCCATGCCTACGTGAGGAAGAGGAACTAAGCGAGCACCCACCATCACTAGACTATAAAAAACCACCTAGATCATAGAACAGATGCGCACTGCTTTTTCTTGGCTTGCTTTTTTTTGGGTTTTTTTTTTCTTTTTGGTGTTTTTTGTCGTTGTTTTCCTAAAAGTGCCCAGGTAGGCTTAAGGCTGCAGACATACGTACATCTACAGCAACAAGGATTTCTTTCTATTCCATCTACATGTATGGGGGTGGGGTAAGGGGGACAGGACAGGAAGAAAGATGGGGATAATCTACCTTCCCCAAATCCTACCACAAGGAGACCTATGTGCCAAGCATAATGGAAGTGTGTGCTCCCCAACAACTGGCTCCACACTGGTTAATATTCTGCTGGTTTTCCTCAGATACCTATTTTGAAAAAAGTTTAAAAAACACAGGAGGATTTTGAAATAATTCAATCCTGGCAGAAATCAAAACTCCAAAACTAGGAGCAAAATCATCTTTCACTAAATTAATCCCTTTTCCTTTCTTTTTTCTTTTCTTAAACATTTTATTCGTGTTATAGAGGGATTTCTTTATCATTTGCTTTCTTCTCAATCATTAGGAGTTGAGGAGTACTGAATCCATCACTACTTTGATGACACAGGTAAGATTCCAGATTCACATTTCCAGGTACCAAGAGTTCCCTCTAATGCCACGATCCATTCAGCCTTCCTCTACGTCTACTGAACACAGCAATGCCCATTGGTATCTCTGAAGCGTAATCGCATCTTAGGTCGGTATTTCTCCAAGTAAAGCAGCTGTTTGGAATTGAATGCTCCCCTTCTTTTTCTGAAAATACAAGAATGGTACACTATCATGTAGCAAAGAACTGCACAGCTTACTGAAATGTACTATTTATGGCACAATGCCATCTAAGCTAGTTTTCCCCAGATGAAAACCTGCTTATTTCCCATACCACATCACTTTAAAAGTTGGCACGTGAACTTGGTTGTTTTGTTTGTTTGTTGGGTTGGTTTTATGAGACAGTGTTTCTATGTGTAGCTCTGGCTGTCCTGGAACTTGCACTGTAACCAGGTTGGCCTTGAACTCACAGAGATCCGCCTGCCTCTGCCTCCTGAGTACTGAGATTAATGGTGTGTGCTACTACCACCCAGCTACAGTCATGTTCTTCTGGGGTTTTTTTTGTTGCTGTTGTTTATTTTTTGGTTTTTTGAGACAAGGTTTCTCTCTGTTACTTTGGTTGTCCTGGAACCTGGAACTCACTCTGTAGACCAGGCTGGCCTCCAACTCACAGAGATCCACCTGCTTCTGCCTCCCAAGTGCTGGGATTAAAGGCATGCACCACCACCAGATGAGACATAAACTCAAGCCCCTCCAAAAGAAGTTTCTTTCCTTTTCTTCTTTTTCCGAGACAGGGTTTCTCTGTGTAGCCCTGGAACTCACTCTGTAGCCCAGGCTGGCCTCAAATTCAGAGATCCGCCTGCCTCTGCCACCAAATTTGCTTGAGTTTCTTTGCCCATCATGTAGTTCATTTAAAAGAGATCAGCAGGGTTGTTCAACAACACCTGACTACACTCTTTCCAATAAGATGAACAGAGTCTTCAGATCAGAATGAGAAACAAGCATTTAATAAACTTTAAAAAACTAACACTAGTTCGAACATACGAAGAGAGTCTCATGTTCGGGGCAGAGTGGAGTGGCAGTGGGACACCACTGTCTCAGTGCTGAGAACCATACACTTCAGGTCTCCTGTCAGTCTTTTCTTTCTCCTCTTAATTTTGTTAAAGAAAGGAACAACATGGCCTATTATTTCAGACCAGTGTCGGGGATGTCAGGTTACTACTATTCTAATTTTGTATGAGAACAGGTCATTCAAGAGTAACAAGTGGGGACTGGAGAGATGGCTCATTGATTAAGAACACTGACTGCTCTTCCAGAGGACCTGGGTTCAGTTCCCAGCACCCATATGGCAGCTCATAACTGTCTGTAACTTCAGTTCCAGGGGATCTGACGTCCTTATACACACATGCAGGCAAAACACCAATGCACATAAAATTTAAAAAATAATGTTAAAGTACTAAAGTAATTAATCTGTTCCTCCATGCATTCCTTTTGTCTGCTGGTCATATGAAATTGCACTGGGCGCTATTATGGAATCCACTGAAAACAGCACTCATCAATTTACTCACTGTGAAGATTCCTAGACATCCAACCACATACTACCATACCCAAATTTGACATCTAAATTAGAAGAACAATCTTACAAACTCCTGGTAGTCTTTGTCACTTGCCTTTATCTTTTTCTCTATTTTCAAACAGTATTTTAAGCCCAAACCAACCACTTCTTACATATTTCAAATGTCTCAATAACCTCTTCCTCCTGCATAGCCCCACTTAGGGTTCTGCACATACAACTGTATATACTCACTGTCTTATGAACTGAACGGCATCTTCATACTTCATTCCACATTCAATCAATGCAAGTGCAACCAGCACAGGGGCCCTGCAAAGAGAAGGCCATCATGAGTATCCATAGTACTAGAGTCTAGAGTTTGCTCTGGTTTTTAACCGAAAGCTTATACATTACCAATTTGAGCTTTGTGCTGGGTGTGGTGGCACATGCTTTAATCCCAGCATTTGGAAGACAGGCAGATCTCTGTGAGTTCAAGGACAGCCTGGTCTACACAGTAAGTTCTAGGACAGCCAGGTCTATAAAATATAAATACAAAATACTGAAACGTCCAACCTCATAAAGAAACCTTAACATACTAAAGTGCTAAGCAGAGCTAATAGCCCAAGTCACCACCACCTTGAGGCAATGGCATCTCACAGTAATGTTGAGTCACAGTGCACTCATAAATTGGCACTTAACCTTCTGTTTATCCAACACACTACTGCAAGCATATTTGGCAGAAAAGGTTCTAAAATCAGTCAATTTTCAGTGTCCACACATCGCTGTTCAAGAGTTTAAAGTAACTTTGTTAAATTCCCTTTCATTTCAATCCAAACCCAACCATGTACAGATACTTTAATCTCTAAAACTATTTTAATTTTGTTGGCCGCTTAATGACCTAAGTATCTCTATTTCTTGAAATGGGACACGGACCCTCATTACATGCTATATAGCATTAGAATCCGATCCAGACCCAACACAACTGGCTCTTAAGAGAACTTATTACACTGACATTTGCTCATTTCCTTTCCAGTAATTTAGTATCATGTAGTTACTAAATGCAAGTTCTACCAAGGTGAAATTTCCAGTTGGCTTTCATTTCTTCTTCTTCTTCTTCTTCTTTTTGTTTTTTCAAGACAAAGTTTCTCTGTGTAGCTTTGTGCCTTTCCTGGAACTCACTTTGTAGACCAGGCTGGCCTCGAACTCACAGCGATCTGCCTGCCTCTGCCTCCCGAGTGCTGGGAGTAAAGGCGTGCACCACCACCGCCGCCACTCAGCTCAGTTGGCTTTCTTAGACACAATGAATTCAGAAAAAAAGTAAGAGTTTTTACCTTCCCAATCCTGCCACACAATGCACTGCAACACAGCAACCTGGCTCTTCACGAAATTTGGTTTTTAGCAGGTTTAGCCAATCATCTACTATTTGATTAGGGGGTGGAGCTCCATCATCAAATGGCCAATCCTGAAAAGAAATGACTTCTTATATTCAACTGGTATGTTCTCAGGGACTAACATCCTAATATAGATGAAGTGAAAATAGTAGCCAGGGCAGGCAGGCTTAACTAAAATAAATATATCACTTAAACCTATTCTTTTGTTTTATTCTGAGACAGTTTATCTGTGCAGCCTTAGCTGTTCTGGAACTTGTTCTGTAGCCCAGACTGGCCTTGAACTCACAGAGATCCTCCTGCCTCTGCCTCTCAGGTGCTGAGATTAAAGGCGTGCGCCACTACTGCTATTCTTAACATAATTCTAATCACTGCTAAAAAACTATCCAAGACCAAAATTTGAATCTGCCAAGTTAAGCCTTCTTAAATGATCTATAATCAATGCCACCCATACACATCTAAAGACAGATATACATATAATTATTGCAAACTGAACCTAGGGACTTATAGGCACTAGGCAAGCATCCTACTACTTACCGCCCCTAGCCCTATCTTAACCAAGAACTGTGGTGTCACAGATCTAGAGCAGCTGAGACCACCAAGTGCCTGGATAGACACTGCTAACTGCTGTAGGTCCCCTGGAAGTGTGTGCCGGATCGAGTCTCACTGGTTCCTTCACAACTGCTTCTGAGGATTATCCCCTGGGCTATAAAATCTTTTCTGAAATCTCAGTGTTTTTCATTTCTTTCTGAAATACTATCTTTGTGTGAATAAAATTAAAAGGGGGGGGTTTAAACCTCCACCCAAATTATACATGTTATTTAGTAAAGACAGTGTCAATGATAGGCTCCTGAGACGATTTTCTTAAGCATCCTCTTTTATGGTCTCATGTAGTCTAAGCTGACCTTTAACTTGAGGTTGACCTTGAACTTCTGATCCTTCCTACTTCTACCTCCCAAATTCTAATATTACAGGCATGTGCTGAAATACCTTCCACTTCCTCTTTTAGTGAGGAGACAGGGTCTCTAGATAGCCCTGCCAGACCTTGGACTCAAGAGAATCCTCTACCCCCAACTGCTGGGACTAACGGTGTGTGCTACCACAGCTCATCCAGCCTCCTTTTCTGTCTAGTCATCAATCTAGGTTGTCTTTCAGCTCTCCCTGCATTTACCAAACAGCACATTACTGCTTGTTTAATCTTCGTTGTTACATAGGCAAGAGTTTCTAATAACTCTAACACTGAGTTCTTATGATATTCCCGCGGCCCGCAGCAAATGGGCAGGAGTCATCACATTTTATGCACTCTTTACCCACTACTAAAGGACAAAAATGAAATGGGGAATGTTTTAAAGCTTCAGACTATTGTACTGGGACCAAGTAAAAATACTAGAAAAGAAACAAGCACTAAACTGATTCAGCAATCATTACTGGCACCAGTGGAACATTCTAAGTAGTCCATTGGCCATGACAGCAAATTACGTTTGAATTGTCAACTATACCTCTTAATTAAAGGGCTGCCAGTGTTACTAACAATGTCACTACAGTTAAACTGTAAACAAGCACCCTAATGGAGACCTTACTTCCTCTAACACTTCCTTAAAGTGCATCTGGAGAAGAAACAATGCACATAACATGCTGCCCTCACTGATAAGCAGTTTCTTTGTGTGTGTGTCTTTGTTTTTGTTTTTGTTTTTTTGTTTTGGTTGTTATTGTTCTTTTAACATTTTTAGATAGGGTCTCAATATGTGGCCCTGGCTAGTCTGGACCTCCTTATGTAAACCAGATTGGCTTCGATCTCAAATAGATTAACCTGCTGCTGCCTCCCAAGTATACCACCATACCCAGCTCTTTTGTTTGTTAAATGTAACTCAAATTGGCTTCCCCTCTTCCTGCCTTCGTTTCCCAAGTGCTGGGACTGCAGGCATAGGCAACACAACCGCTGTCTTTTATAAAAAGAAGCATTAAACAATTAGAACTACCAGAACCCACACTACCGATACTGACATCACCACCAGCTAACTGGCTTCTCCCAATTCACCGGGACTTGCAAGACCATTTAAAGAACTGGAAGGTCTTTATCTGAGGACTATCCTTCTAGAGTGACTGACTCTTTCCAAAACCTCTTTACTGGGAAAATATAAATAAATCTGTGTGGGAAAAGGTAACCTCCACATTTTCTTCAAGTTTAAGTCAGACCTTTAATTTTATCTGGGCACAGCTATTTAAAACAAAACAGAAAGCCAAACTTAAAGGACAGAAATAATTCCCAGACCTAGCATTATCTTCTACAAACTAATTTAGGTTCTCTAGTTCATTCTATTGTATGAAGGTGTTTGCCAACATTTCTGATTCAAAGACCATGGTCAATCCAAAGACTTCTCATGCTGCTCATTATCAAAACAAGGTGATTTCTCATGTACCCACTAAAGAACACACAAGAGGGAAGAATTAACTTGTATTCAGCTTAATTTGAATATTGTTTTTTTGAAAAAGGGTTTCATTATAAGGTTGACCTTGACCTTCCTTCATTATAACCAATCTAGTCCTGAACTTGTTGTAATTTTCCTGCTTAGCTTCCCAAGTGCTGGGTGAGAGATGCACCGCAGTTCAAAAATCTTAAAATACACAGGACTAGGCGAGCTAGATGGCTCCACACATGTACACGGTATAATGGAAAAGAAAAATTTATTTATGAAAGTTGAAAACAAGGCTAGAGAGATGGCTCAGTATTTAAAAGCACTTACTGATCTTCCAGAGGACCTGGGTTCAATTCCCAGAACCCTTATCAGGTGGCTCACAACCACTTGTAGCTCCAGCAGATCAGAACATGAAAACACATATACATTTTAAAATTAAACCAAAAACACCACAGAACTAGGCTGGGGGCATGACTCAGCTGGTAGAGGGCTTGCCTGTAGCATTTAGGAAGCACTGAGCTCACCTTCCAAGAACTGCATAAAGCAACCACAGCACACACACCTGTCCTCCCCAGCACTGGGAGGTAAAGGAAGGAAGGTCAGTTCAAAGTCATCCTCAACCACATAATGAGTTTGAGGCCTACCTATAACATGAGGCTGCCTCAAAAAAATAAACTCAGCCGGGCGGTGGTGACGCACGGCTGTAATCCCAGCACTTGGGAGGCAGAGGCAGGTGGACAGAGCTAGTCCAGGACAGGCTCCAAAGCTACAGAGAAACCCTATCTCGAAAAACCAAAATAAATAAATAAATAAACATAAAAAATAAATTAAAAAAATTAACTCACAGGGCTGCATTCTATACATGTATTCTCATCGACAGGAGTTCCAGCCAATGGACTAGTCTCTTAGAAAGAAATGCAAGCCAACTGTTTCAATGCCAAGCAGTGAACATTTTTTAAAATAATTTCTTTATGTGTACTTTATGTGCATTGGTGTTTTGCCTGCTTTTATGTCTGTGAGGTTATCAGATCCCCTGGAACAGGAGTTAGGTACGAACAGTTGTGAGCGGACATGTGTATACGGGGGAAGTGAACCCAGGTCCTCTGGAAGAGCAGTCAGTGATCTCAACCGGGGAGCCATCTCTCCAGCCCCGAAGTGAAATCATTTTTTTAAAAACACAATTTTTTTCACTAAAGCAAAAGTGAGAAGAGTGTGGGTTGTAAACATGAAATGACTGACTACCTTACCAACAAGGAAACTTATCTGCATCAACTGCCTTCCAAACCACTGACCAAGCCCATACCTGAGGAGTCACAGAACCATCTACCTCCATTACTTTCTTCCCAGTTACTCACAAAAGCTCTAGCTCTCTTCCTACTACATTGCCCTCAAAAAGGCACAGAAGACTGATAGGTCATTTCATTCCTAAGAGTCACTCTTAAGAGCCAATTATTCAGGGGAAATGGTAGAGGTTGGATTTTTGGTTTTTTTTGTTTGTTTGTTTTTTTCCAAATAAGAGTCTCTTATTATCTGTAAAGAAGTTAGCATGCTTGCTTTGTATTCAAACTGAACTAGTCTAACCCTACTAGAGCTCTTGAAGAAGCCTACCAAAGAGTATTCTGTACCAAGATGCCTTCTCCTAGTCTTTAACTTTTGCGCCTGCCTTTTTGTCCTCTACAAATGATCCACAAAATAGTAAGTCACTAAGCTCATACTTACAAACTGGGAGAGGATATATCCATATGAAGTATTTCTGATGGAAATTATTATATTCAAATTAGTAGCCTAGAAACAAAAAAAGCTAAATACTGCATTAGTCCCCAAAATACAAAAATAACAATTTTCATTGTGTGTGTGGCCAAGTGGGGGTTCTGAGACAGGATCTCGCTGTGGTAGCCTTCACTGGCCTGGAACTCACTGTGTAGACCAAGACGACCCTGAAATCAGAGAGCCTCCTGCCTCTGCCTTCTAAGTGCTAGAATTAACTTTTTGAGACATGGTCTTTTTACTTGGGTTCTTAAGGTCAATCTCAGGTCCTCATGCTTTGACAGAAGCATTTCACTCTCTGAGACATTTCCCAGTCCCCAGTTTCCATGTTTTAGGAGTAAGTGTCTACTCGATTCTGCCTTTCATTTGTTGAAAATACATTGCAGTTATAGACTCCAAGGACACAATAAATGCTACTGCTCATTTATTAATCCAAAGAAACTCTAGAAGACTGCTATCAAAACTGCCTATTAACTTGGCACTTGAGTATCAAACTTCATAAATATTAGTGTTAGGAAATGTCAGTATGTATTTGTAGAAACAAAGACACTATACACTCACTAGAACGTGGATTCCTTCTTTTTCAACTGGAGCTTTATCATATGTAGCATCACAAACGCGAACCAAAGTTGTCACTCCATACTTCTTAAGTTCCTTTAAAGAGAGACAGTTATCAGAGAACTTGTTTTGGGGATCTGAAACTGGTTTTCAGAACTGTACAAACTGAAACTATGCTGCAGTGCTGTTCTCAGGCAAAGCTCAAAACTGATCTCATTGCAGCAACATATACCAGACACACACTTCTTGTGGGAAAAGTCATCTTTATAAAGGGCAATCAGTGAGTAGCACAGCACAAAAACTTTAAAAGTTCATACATACAACACTGACCTAGAAATTCTATTCTTGGGATTTCATTGAAAAGAGGTAATTAAGACAAAACAGGGGGCTGGAGAGATGGCTCAGAGGTTAAGAACACCGACTGCTCTTCCAAAGGTCCTGAGTTCAATTCCCAGCAACCACATGGTGGCTCACAACCATCTGTAATGAGATCTGGCGCCCTCTTCTGTATACATAATAAATAAATAAATCTTTAAAAAAAAAAAAGACAAAACAGCTTACACATCTTCATCATAGGTAGAACAGAATGGTAAACAGTTGAAATGTTTATTAATGTTCCCCCCACAAAAGGGAATGATTAAGGGAGGGATGGTACACCCAGACAGATAATATTATGACAGCTATGAAAGTAACACTAAAGAGATTGGGGGGACAGTTTTGAATATGTGGTATGACCTTACATAAGTGTATTTATAAATATACACACATGGGGAAAAAAATCTAGAAGCCAGGTATTTAACAATTCAATGTTTTTTGTTGTTGTTGCTTTGTTTATAATTTATAGACAGGGTTTTCTCTGTGTAGCCTTAACTGTCCTGAAACTTACTCTGTAGACCTCTGTGGCTGGCCTCAAACTCACAGAGATTCACCTGCCTCTGCCACCCAAGTGCTAAATTAAGGGCATTCAATACCATGCCTGGCTCTTATTTTGCTTTTCTATATATTTTGGTTTTTGTGTAGTAAGCATTTATTGCCTTTCTAAAGAATAAGTTTAATTTTGAAATTAGGAAGAAAAAGTGATTTAAAAAGAGCTAGTCAACAATTATAGCCAAATGCCTTGCTCCTTTAAACAGAAAATACAGGTCAGGAATGGCTCTCCAGAGGCAAAGGCAGGCAGAACGCTAGAGGTTCAAGGCCAGACAAGGTCATATAGTGAGACCCTGTCTAAAAAAATTTATTCACGCTGGGCAGTGGTGGCGCACGCCTTTAATCCCAGCACTCGGGAGACAGAGGCAGGCAGATCTCTGTGAGTTCGAGGCCAGCCTGGTCTACAGAGCTAGTTCAGGACAGGCTCCAAAGCTAAGAGCCTATCTTTTTTTTTCCTATCTCGGAAAAAAAAAAAAAATCACATTTATTCATTTTTGTACCTGCGCTTGTGAACATACCACAGTGCACACATAGAGGTCCCACAACAATTTTCAAATTTCAGCTCTCTCCTTCCACCATGTAGGTTTGGTGCTAAGTGCCTTTACCCACTGAACCATCTCACCACCTCCCGGCTAGGAATTTTAAAAATGAATTTCAGGTGAGCCTAGGGACACAGATCTAGATGGCTAGACAAAAGAATCACAAGTTCAAGGCCCACCTGAGCTATGGAATTAAATTAAGGCCAGCCTTCGAAATTTAGTGAGTGCCTCAAAATAAAAAAGGGCATGGATATAGCTCACTGGCATTGTGTTTGCTTGGCATTCATGAGGTCTTGGGTTCCATTTCCAGTACCACTGAAGTAGGGTGGGGAAAGGTCTCAAAATACATGTGCTGGGGATATATATAAGTCAGTGGAACAGTCCATAGTAATCTGCACAAGGTCCTAGGTTCAATCCCCAGTAGCACAGAAATGGAAAAATAAAAAAAAGAAGTTGAAACGATTTTCATGGTTGTCACTCAGCAGAAAGTTGTGCTACAACTTTTTTACAATAAACCTCTATTTGGCATCAGCTTTGCCCCCACAAAACGAGAGTCCCAGCTGCGAATTCATATTTGATAGTACAATCTATAAAAGACTAAAAACTGGCCGGGCGGTGGTGGCACACGCCTTTAGTCCCAGCACTTGGGAGGCAGAGCCAGGTGGATCTCTGTGAGTTCGAGGCCAGCCTGGGCTACAGAGTGAGATCCAGGAAAGGCGCAAAGCTACCGAGAAACCCTGTCTCGAAAAACCAAAAAGACTAAAAACTGTATTTAAATATTTGCTAAAAGAGTCAAGAGTTTTTTAATTACCAAAAGGGGGGGAACAAATGAGACTCTGTTCTACTACCCATGACCACTTCCTTCCCAAGTTTCTGGGTTCCTGTATTATGATAAGTACTGTTACACATGTTTGTTAGAGTATGGGTGTGGAGATCAGAGAATACCTTGGGGGAATCAGTTGTCATAGCCTCAAGGATTAAACTGAGGTTGTCACACCTGAGAGTTCTCCTTTCCCCATCTCATCCACCCCTTAACCTGAGTTTCAGTATGACAGGCTTAAGTGTCAGTTCTACCAAATACAATGAGCCACTGGGCAAATTACATGATTGACTTGGAAGCTGAGTGGTATTATCTGTAAGAGGGAGGAGGGAACAAGAGTGCCTGTGTCAGATAGAATTTTTGTACCTTGACCTTCAAAACAAACAGTGCTCAGTGCTTACTGCAATGTTGAGTACATGCTAAGCTCAACAAATGTTTTTTTAGTACTAAAAAGGACAAAAAATACTGCTAATGAACATAGAAAGAACACAAGATTTAAAGTACTAGATAATCTAGAATAGCCCCAAAGTTTCTTAAATACTCTTTCAAAAATTCTATAGTAACAATTCAACCCAATGTAAACTATTAAAAGATAAACATTCATAGTTAAATCACACCATTTTATTCTAATTTTAATAAGACTTATTAATAGCTATAAGTCAATCCCAAAAGTAGACTATCCTACAATCTTACCTCTGTGAACTTGTTGAGAGTAGCATTGGTGGGGTTGTGAGTTATCAGAAAACGCATGTTCTCATAAGAGATCTCCACAGGGGCTGGACGGTTCATTATGGCAAATAAAAAGTGTGAGCGTGCGTGTGTGAATGTGGTAGGGAAAACAGGGGGGAAGGGGGATCAATAAATCTTGAAATGTTTCTCAGCAGAAAACATTAAAAAGACCACTAAAATGCCTATTATTGATCACTACTTTCTCTGTTCAACTTGTTTATTCCTTATGAAGCTTCTCTCTTCAACACAGGCAGAAGTATTCAGAATCCACTTCAATCCAAATTCAACTTGGGCCTCAATGTCTGCAGATGGATACCTTCAGCCTCCAAAAAATCCAACTACATACAAAATGTAAGCAGCCTTTAAACTACATTTAGGCACTAGTGAGACAAGTTAAAAGTGTAGGTTCTTTTCCACTTTTGTTTACTTGATGCTTAATTTTACTGGAGTCATTAAAAGACATATGCTTGCAATTTAAAAAAAAAAAAAAAAGCCTACTACTTCTGAGGCCAGTCTCGGTGTCCAGAGTCTTCAAGGCAATGTTAATTATGGCACATATATCCCCCAAGCTCACTTGTCAGCGAAAACGCTGTGCTGAGCCTGGCAGAAGTCTGCCCTCACACTCAGAATCGCCATAAATGTGCAACGTATATTCCAACGAAAAACCTGGGAGAAAAAGCATACGTAACAGGAAGTGAGATTAAGAACCACGTAAACATGAAGTCTAAAGTAAAAATACATTCCCTAAGAGCCCAAGACAGGTCAAATGTCACCAATGATAAATGACTGCCACCCATAAAGACTACAAGGGTGCAAACACAACAACAATCTTAAACACCAGCCTTATCTTTTTTCAAAACTGCTTCAATACAGTTTGTAGGGGAACAAATTATTTCTAACTCGTTTTTCAATGCCTAGATCTTAAAAATTCATTCAAATCATTATTACTTGTAGAAAAAGTTCCATTGACTCTTTTTTTAACTGTTCAACTCACAAAAATACTGTATTTTTCTGCTTTTGATAGATCTTTCACATATATTCTTTGTTTAAAATAAGGTATCTATCTGTAATAGGCTGAAGATATTTAACAAAATTCTACTTCAAAGTCATTTTATTAAAATTCTATGCATTGCCCCCATTAATGATATTAATCCATGGTCAAATTTTTATTTTAGGGTGGGAGCTGGCAGACTGCTTTCCTAGCATCCACAAGCCTAGTTTGATCACCAACACCTCATAAACTGGATGTGGTGGCACATGTCCAATAATCCTAGTACCTGAAAGGTACAAACAGGGAACTCAGAAATTCCAGGTCATTCTTGGCTATATAGCAAGTTCAAGGCAAGCCTAGACAGACAGACAGACAGACACACATACACACACACATACACACAAACTCTCTCCCTCTCTCTCCCCCCAAATAGCTGTTATTTATGTGAAAAGAAAGAGAGAAGTGAAAGGATTTGCCTCAAGTTGCCTCAAGTCACATGAATTAACTGGGCCTCAATCTAGTCTTCTACTGGCCATGTGGTTTTCGTGTTTTATGTATCACCATTGTCTGCTGACTCCACTCATGTACAAACCCATCTTATTTCTGGTCCAGTTTACCCTTTTTTACTATTTTTCACATCACTGCCAGTACACCTATAATCTTAGCTCTCAGGATGCTGAGACAGGGGAATGTCAAATTTTAGGCCAACCTTGATTACATAGCTACATAGTAAGATCCTGTATCAAAAATAATGTAGGGGGATTTTTTTCCCCCAAAAGTTTGTAGTTGGTGACATTTGCCTTTAATCTCAGCACTTAGGAAGCAGAGGCAGGTGGATTTCTGTGCGTTTGAGGCAAGTCTGGCCTACAAATTGAGTTCCAGGCCAGCCAAGGCTACATTACATAGTAAGACCTGTCTAAGAAAAATAAACAATAATTTTAGGGCCAGCGAGATGGCTCAGTGGTTGAGAGAGTATACTACTTTTGAAAAGAACCCAACTTCAAATTTCAACACCTACACTGGGTGGCTCACAACTCCCTGTGGCTCCAGCTCCAGAGAGATTCAAAACCTCTAGCCTCCAAGGGCATCTGCACTCATGTGTGCATAGTCAGCAATCACGTAAACAAGTAGGACTAAAAGTAATAATAAAAGTAAATCTTTCAAAAAATAATTTTGCGGCGGGGCGGTGGTGGCGCACGCCTTTAGTCCCAGCACTCGGGAGGCAGAGGCAGGCAGATCTTTGTGAGTTCGAGGCCAGCCTGGTCTACAGAGCGAGATCCAGGAAAGGAGCAAAGCAAAACTACACAGAGAAACCCTGTCTCAAAAAACCAAAAGAATTTGTAGCCAGGTGTGGTGGCACACACCTTTAATCTCAGCACTCAGGAGGCAGAGGCAGACCAATCTCTGTGAGTTTTGAGGCTAACTTGGTCTACAGAGCTAATTCCAGGACAATCAAGGCTCCACAGGGAAACCCTGTCTAAAAAAAAAGTTTAAAAATTTTTCAGAAGATTTATTAATTTTTATGTATATGAGTGTTCTGCCTGCATGTCTACATCATATACATATACTGCCTATGAAGGCCAGAAGAGGGCCTAGAACTGGAGTTAGATAGTTGTGAGCCACCTCGTGGGTGCTGGGGATCTGGGCTCTCTGGAAGAGCAGCCAGTGCTCTTAACAAGCACTGTGCCATCATTTCTCTAGACCTTAAAAAATTAATAATTTAAAAAGGGAAATAGGAACTCTGAGGCTGGATAAATGTCTCAGTGGTTAAAAGCACTTGTTGGTTTTCCAGAGGTCCTGGGTTTGGTTTCCAGCACCACATGGCAGCTCACAACTGCCTGTGGCTCTGGTTCCAGAAGATCAGACTCTTCTGGTCTCTGAAGGCTCTTGCATGTATGTCAGGCACAGCTACACATGCAAGCAAAACACCCACACAGCTTTAAAGAACAACAAAGTATAAGCTATCTGGAGGTCAGTGTTTCCCACAGCACTCTTCTCTCCAAATATCATTAAAACACAAGTTAAGTCAGAGAAGTAGCAGAATCCATAATTTTATTTTAGGATTTGCTGCTTTGCAACAGTTTAAGATGTTTCATTACATACAGGCTCAGTCAGATGGCAACTTCCTCTGGAAACAGGGACATGGTCTAAGAAGTACTTTTTCTTGCCTCTTCTGTAAGTCACCAATAACTAAATGCTTATTTGATGTTTCAGGGCTGAAAACATAACCCAGTGGTAGCATGGTTGCCCAAAAGGCATAAAACCCTGAGTTTGATATCCCAGCACTGCAAAAATTAAAGTAGTAATAATTTTAAAAGCGGGGTACAGCAGCACAGGTCTGTAAATCCCAGGACTTGGGAAGCAGAATGGTCACCAAGTTCCAGGCCAGCCAGGGCTACATTTTTAGACTTTGTTTCAAAAAATATTAAATTTGTAGCAATAAATATATTTGTGCTAAGTGCATTTTGGTGATGAAGGGCATGTTCAGCATGTACAAGACCTCAGGTTCTATCCCCAATACAGAAAAACTCGGTCTCAGGAAAAAAAGGGGGGTTGGGAATGGGGGTATCAAAGCCACCCTTGTTACACAGAAATTTTAGACCAGCCTAGACTGCAGATCTCTGTAAGACCAGCCAGGTCTACGTATCTACATAGCAAGTTTCAGGACAACCAGGGCTACATAGAGAGACCATGTCTCAAAAAAAAGGGGAGGAGGCATCAGAAACTACTATACTATACTATACTATACTATACTATACTATACTATACTATACTATACTATACTATACTACTATAACTCTTCATTCTAATTCTAACCTCAGACACAGGCACCTGAAGTTACACAGGACACTTTACAGAACACACCTTGTGTAGCCAAGGAGCTTTAGAGTAATGTTAGGAGAAATGCAGATAAACTATTCTGACCTTTTAAAAACTCAAAGATCTTGTTCAAATAGGTTAAATGTTCTGAGACCAACACTATTAAATTAGGAGCAATTCAAGACAAGAGCCTAGATCTCCTGACTCCTCAGTTATTTTTTTCCCTTCCACTTTGGATGCACCCACATATTCAAGTCCCATTCTCTTGCATGCAAGTCTAGGTTTTCTTCAAACATCTGCAACTGCTGACTTCTGTGAGGAAAAGATTACAAGAAACTACAAAAAAACAATGGTTTGCATACAGTGCACAGCAAAACACAAGGAAATTCTAACCTGCGTTGAATCTTTTGGTTCAATGTTATCACAGTTAATGTGTATCAGCTGAGCAGAGGCACTAACAGGCTTGTATTGTAGTGGCAGCCAGACTTAAAAGCTTACAGTCCTGGCATTAAATTTTCTACCTAGTCTCCGGTGTTTGTCTGCTAAGCAAACAAAACAAGCTTTATCCTATCTTATTCCTCCCACTTCATTTTGGAAAGAACCATTTCCAGGGATAATGATAACTTATTATTAGATTTTCAATTCTTAATACTGAAGAGCTCCAACAACAGAATTTCCGCCAAAAGAAACAGTAGGTTCTATCAAAATTAACAGACACATGATAAAACCAAGTTTCTGTCCCACCCCTTCTCCCAAGAGTCCAACTACACATCAACAGTACGAGTTTTGCACCTATCATTTCAGCTGAACTAATGTTAAGTGTAGTTGACACTCAATGCAAAGCAAGCAACCTGTTTTTCAATCAAAATCTCCACCATAATATACCACAGCTAGAATGCTCAAACGTAGCAGACTCCGTTCCCAGCACCCATGTCAGGCAGCTCACAGCAAAGCTGGCCTCCAAGAACACTCTCACATCGGCATATGTCCACAGACATACACACATGATTTAAAAATAGTTATTTTGGTACAATTCCATTCTTTATGTAATATTTTAATTTCACTGAAACAATATATTTTCACAGAAGATTGGAAAAGAATGGCTTGCCACAGAAATCCCTTTAATCTAAGTGGAAGGCTAGAAAGAAGGGACAGAGTAGAGGGAAAGGATGTGGGGTTTGGAAGATCAGGCAAGCAAGCAGAGTCCTAACTAGCTGAGCAGTATGGAGACTACTTAAAACTCTGAGGGTATAAAACAGTTTAAATCTTGGTGTCAGTATCCTACTGCTTGTATCCATCTAAAGGCAAATCTATAGCCAACATGTATGAAATAATCCAGTACTCATCCTTTAATCAGACTGTATGTATGTTTGTTTGTTTGTTTGTTTTTTGGAACAAAGTTTCTCTGTGTAGCCCTGGCTGTCCACATACGGATCCACCTGCCTCTGCCTCCCAAGTGCTGGGATTAAAGGCGTGTGCCACCACTGAACAGCTGCAGGGTATAGTCTTAAAATGGAGAACTAGGCAAAGGTTAAAGAGAAAATAAATCTACATAATAAACAAATAGGTAAAGATAGATGAAAGACACTAGTTAGCAAACTAAATTTAAAGATGTATGGCAGAGTACATGGTCTGCTTTTAGAAATGCATGTGTGCACTTTCATACCCATGGACTATCTGAAAGGTTACAAAGATAAGGTGGGTAAGGTTTCCTGAAGGCAGAGAAAGGGTGGGGAGGGGCTAAAGGACAGAAGCATAATTTGCTTATCTTAACATACACCTTTTGAATGGTTTTAGCTTTTCCATGTAATACTACATATCTTTTTAAAAAAATTCTAGGGTGATAAAGAACCTC